ATGTTATTGCAAAAGATTTAGTAGCAATTGAGAATCCCATCCTCGAAAAGATTCAGGTGTCTACTATATTGCATAGTCTTCCAGACTCTTGGAAAAATGTGGTAGTTGCCTTAAATCTTTATGGAAGAGACATTAATATGAAAAACCTACCAACCTTGCTAGGCCTGGAAGCTKAAYRAAAGAGCAAAAARGYTCAATCATCATCATTGATAGTTGCCACTAGTCCAATTGAAACTAATAAAACTACTGAAAAAATTGAGAACCATAAAGGTAAAGAAAAGAAGTATCATAATAAACCTATTTTTTCAAAGGAGTTCAAGAAAACTAAAGGCAAATGTTTTATTTGTGGGAAACCAGGCCATACCAAATATAATTGTTATCAAAACAAGAAGAATAAAGATAACAATCATAATAAATTAGCAAAGAAATATATCATCTGTGTGGTTTCTGAATCATTACTTATTGATATTGATTATGTTGATTGGTGCATTGATTTGGGTTCTTCTCGCCATGTATGTAAATTCAAGGAACTATTTATGGAGATGAAGGAAATGAAGCCAGGCGAACATAGGATCTTCATGGGAAACAATACCTATAGTGATGTACTAGGTGTTGGGAAAGTGAAAATAGTCATCAATGAAAATACAAATCTGATCTTAAATAATGTAATGTATGTGCCTAGTGTTAGGTGGAACCTTTTGTCTGTACCCCTCTTGGATGAAAAGGGTTTTGAGGTTTGTTTTAAAGGAAGAAAAATGTCAATTGAAAAACATGGGAGAGTCTTATTGTTTGGAACTAAGTTTGATAGTTTGTATCATTTATCTATTAATAAAGTGAATGTCTCTTCTGCTTATTTTGATTGTGTATAATGTGGATGAAAATGCTTATATATGACACATGAGACTTTGCCATATTAATAAAGACAAAATGATGAGGATGTCTTCAAGTGGCTTAATACCTAAGGTGGAAATTAACTTTAAATACTGTAGACCATGTCTTAGTGGAAAATCATCTAGATTACCATTTAATAAAAGAAGAAAATCAAAAGAATTGTAAGATATTGTGCACTCAGATGTTTGTGGTCCACTAAATGTCAAGACACACAATGGAATGGAATAGTTTGTGACTTTTATTGATGATAGCTCTAGATTTGGATATGTTTATTTGATTAAAAGAAAATATGAGGTATTAGAAAAATTTAAAGAATACAAGTTAGAAGTAGAAAACCATACCTATATAATATTAAAATTTGGGGTTCTAGTGCCTATATTAGAGTTCCTAGTCAATTAAGAAACAAACTAGATAACAAAAGCATAAGATGCACCTTTATAAGATATTCAAAAAACAACAAAAGTTACAAATTCATAAATCATAAATCTGATGGATCTATTGAATTCATAGAAAATCGGGATGCTGTGTTCTTAGAGGACCAAATAAAAGATGAAAATGATGGTGTCTTGACTCAATTATTTGAAATAGAAAATGAAGATATTCAAAAAGAAACATACACAACAAAGAATGATACATTAGAAAAAATTCAAAGAGAAATGTTTCCCTCTTCCAAATTGAAAGATTATTATACCTTCTTAAATGAAGAATCAACAGATGATCCAATAAGCTATTTGGAGGCTATGAATGCACCCGATAAAGAAAAATGGAAAAAAGCCATAAATGAAGAACTAAATTCAATAAATAAAAATCAAGTGTGAGAATTGGTAGATTTGCCTAGTAATAGAAGACCAATTGGAAGCAAATGGATATTCAAAAAGAAATTAAAAGTAGATGGTTCTATAGAAAAATACAAAGTTAGGCTTGTAGCAAAGGGATATACACAAGTTGAAGGTATAGATTATGATGAAACTTACTCATCGGTAGCAAGATTTACTTCCATTAGAATTTTAATGTCCTTAGTTGCACATTTTGATTTAGAGTTATGTCAGATGGATGTAAAAACCACTTTCTTAAATGGAAAGCTAAATGAATAAATTTATATGACACAACCAGAAGGATAAATAAGAGAAGGGCAAGAAACAAAGTATATAAATTGAACAAGTCTCTATATGGACTAAAGCAATCCTCTAGGATGTAGTATTACATATTTCATAATTCCATCACAAAACTTGGGTTTATCCCAAATCCATTCGATCACTGTGTTTACTCAATGAATAGTGGGAGTTCGTTTATTATACTCTCCTTATATGTTCATGATATTCTAATAGCTAGTAATAATATATCTATGATAAATGAAACAAAACATTGATTAAGTACTAATTTTGAAATGAAAGACATGGGAGATGCTAGCTATGTATTTGGAATAAAAATAGAAAGAGATAGAAAATATAAAACATTATCTCTTTCACAAGAAAATTATTTACAGACAATACTTAAAAGGTTTAACATGACAAATTGTAATGAAATCAATACTCCCATTTGCAAAGGGACTAAAATGTCTAAGGACATCACCTAAAATTGAAAGAGAAGTAAGTTACATAAAGAATGTTCCTTATGCACAAACAGTTGGTAGTTTAATGTATGCAATGTTATGTACAAGACCTGATTTGTCTTATGTTGTTAGTCTTGTTAGTAGATACCAAAGTAATCCAGGAACTGCACATTGGTCAATAGACCTGTTCATGGGCCGGGCTTTTACTCATCATTAATGGAAATACGCTAGGCCCGAGCCCGAGCTCGAGCCTGGCCCAACCAACGGGCCTATAACTTGGGCTCGAGCCCGACCCTAATAAAAAGCCCGAAGCCCGACCTAATAAAAAAATTACAATTTTTCCTATTCAAATTAGAATTAAAAATTTAGATGGTTTTTTTCCTATTTAAATGAACAATGGGCCTACAAGATGGTTTTTTTACCTTTCTTTTACGTTTTAAAACATAGTTTTACATTCTTAAATCAAAATATTTATTCAAATGGACATAATCACATAACCCATTTTAAGTCTAATTTTAGGTTGGGCCGGGTCGGGCTCGGGCCGGGCTATTTTGACAAAACCCGAGCCCGACTCGAATTTATTACGGGCCAAACTTTTTGGCCCGAGTTTAAGCCCGCGGGCCTATAAACATGTTCAAGCCCATCTGGGGGCCGAGCCGGCCCGTCGGGCCACCCGGCCCATGAACAGGGCTATTGGTTAGCCATTAAAAGAATTCTAAGATATTTACAACAAACCAAGGATTATAGACTAGCATACTCTTGTGATCAATTAGAATTGATGGGTTACTGTGATGCTAAATTTGTAGGAGACCTGGATGATAGAAAATCTACTACCGGGTTCATCTTCCTTCTGGGAGGAGGTGCCATTTCTTGGGCAAGCAAAAAGCAAGGTTGTGTAGCCAAATATACTATGGAAGCTGAGTTCATAGCTTGCAACACAACAACATCAGAATGTTCAATGATAATGATAATGAAGCGACCATCAAGACGATAAAGAATGGAGAAATTGGTCCAAAAGGAAAGCACATTGACTTGCAATACCGGTATCTTCATGATATCTACCAACGGAATGAGATCCTGGTAGAGCACGTGCCGACAAATGATATGGTTGTTGATCCATTGACAAAGCCCATTGTGGTTAGTGACTTTAAAAGGCACGTGGTGTCAATGGGATTGAGAAGCAACCAAACATCTCGGGCCTAATTGGCCAAGTGGGAGATGTTGGAACGGGTGGCCTTAGGCCCTCAATTTGGAATCCTCAATGTGTCGGAGAATCCACTGGCCATGTGAAAAGCCACACGTTGATGGAGTAGCTTAATGATATCATCCCTGTTAACACACTACAACACACACCGACTGAATATCCTCTTTATTGGAAGGCTATCAAAACCTCCAAGAAGTTCTGCCCAATTCGGATTGTATTATTAGGTTTGTGAAGTCCAAGATTGTGTTCAAGTGTTGTTGGATTCATCAAGAAAAGTGGAAATACTCTTTGTTTGTAGAATCTTATTTGCATTTTTTGTCACTATTCTATTATTGTTTTTCAACTATCGCCCTGTTGTTGCTGATTATCTTCTCACCTGTCAAGAGTTTATATAAAGCCAAAACGATTCAAATGTAGAAAACAAAAGAAGCGTTGAGATTCCTATCGATCACACGGCGTAGATAGAAAAAGGAACGAAACGAACCTGCTCTTTGGTCTTGTCCACCCTGGCCATGGCCAAATCGACAATGTTTGAGACAGTGTCCCTCATGGCTTGCATTTTTGTTTGCTTTCACAGACGATCAAAGATTAATTAGAAAATCGGTATCTAATTTCAGAAAGAAAGAGCTCGTCATGTGTGTCGGACCAAGCGCGATGTATCCCCGCTTTATATTATACAGGGTTTCTAGCAGAGGGATGGACTGTCGGGACGAGGAAGATGATGAACAGTGCCCTGCCTTTTTTTGATATTTTTTCAAAAAATTTATCATATTTTATTTAGTTTATAAAAATATTACTTTTTACTTTTTGCCCTTATCTGCTAGAAACCCTAGAAACAAAGCCTGAAATTTCATCTCGAGGCAACCAACCATAATGGTATGGGGGTGGTCAAGTAAGAGAGAGAGAGAGAGAGTGGAATGAGAGGAATTCTCTCAAGAAAAGCCCTACCCTACCTACAACAAGCTCTCAAGGGCAAATTTGAAAATCCGGAGGCAAGGTCTGGATGATAACAGGCCCACACAAAATGATCCTAGTGGGAGATATCCTAGAGCCCATATGCAAAGATAATTTCATCTCTCAGTCCCGAACCCACTGGAGGAAGAGATGAATGAAATCTAAAAGCAATACGTGGAACATCCATATTCGTCCGAACAAGGAGAGATGAATCGGCAGTTGGGATTCTCTTCTCTGATGTAAAGGCAGAAGAAATTATCTCGGCAACTGGTGGTGTAGGGAGTGCCAACTGGGAAACACTCCAAAAAATCCCCAACTTCAATCCTCCAATGGGAGAAGAGATACAGATACCAAAGGATAAGGACCCTTGGCTCTCAACTCTCAACTTCTATTTAAGGTCTCACAATCCATCGTTGTATCACAGCACAGGCTTTTCTCAGCTCCCGTTAAAGATTAAACACAATGGCTGCCTCTACAATGGCTCTCTCCTCTCCATCTCTGGCCGGAAAGGCCGTGAAGTTGGCCCCTTCCGCCGCCTCTGAACTTCTTCTTGGCCAAGGGAGGGTCACCATGAGGAAGACTGTGGTCAAGCCCAAGCCTGTCTCATCTGGCAGCCCATGGTATGGCCCTGACCGTGTCAAGTACTTGGGTCCCTTCTCCGGTGAGCCTCCATCCTACCTCACCGGTGAATTCCCTGGTGACTACGGGTGGGACACCGCCGGGCTCTCTGCTGACCCAGAGACCTTTGCCAAGAACCGTGAGCTGGAGGTCATCCACGCCAGATGGGCCATGCTTGGAGCTCTTGGGTGCGTCTTTCCTGAGCTGCTTGCACGCAATGGTGTCAAGTTCGGCGAGGCTGTGTGGTTCAAGGCCGGTGCACAGATCTTCAGTGAGGGCGGGCTGGATTACTTGGGCAACCCAAGCTTGATACACGCCCAGAGCATTCTGGCCATCTGGGCAACACAAGTTATCTTGATGGGCGCTGTTGAGGGCTACCGTATTGCTGGTGGGCCACTCGGTGAGGTGACTGACCCACTTTACCCTGGTGGCAGCTTCGACCCACTTGGCCTTGCTGATGATCCTGAGGCTTTTGCTGAGCTCAAGGTGAAGGAGATCAAGAACGGCAGACTTGCCATGTTCTCCATGTTTGGTTTCTTTGTTCAGGCCATTGTGACTGGCAAGGGACCCTTGGAAAACCTGGCTGACCACCTTGCTGACCCTGTCAACAACAACGCCTGGGCCTACGCAACCAACTTTGTCCCTGGAAAGTGAGTCAGAGGGAAGAAACTGTATTGAGAACGCGAGATTATTGTTGGTGATGTAAATTCATGGAAAGGATGTGAATTTTGTGTATTAGTAGTGCGGACGGAATATTTTCTCATCTGTTTTGGTTTTTAAATCCAGGTCTCTTCTTGTCATCTTCTTTCTTTTCTTTAATATTTATTAATTAAGAGTTTGACGCTGCAGTTCCCAGCTCAGCTCATTGTTCTATCTTCTGTTCTGCTGCTCAGGTTACTTGGCGATAAAACTTAACCATGAATTTAGGCAAAATATTGAATCGATAAGAAATGGAACAAAAGAAGGCTATTTATTTGGAATGGTTTTTATCTTTTGGCCTTAAGGAGGGAAAGACAAGCACAAACTGTACATGAAAATTTAATCAAGTATTTTATTGACAATTTTCATTCGTATCTGAGTATTGATGAAGAGTTTATATGTATTTTACAAGTTCACATTTGGATCAAATGCTATATGTGTTGAGGTACCAGGAAATTGCTTCAACGCTAATGCAATAAAGAATGGTTTGACCTCATGTAAGAAATGTACAACCAATCTCTGGGCTTTCTTTGTAGCAAAAATCAACCAAATCCAGATTAATCACTTGGGCAAGGAGTGGATTTTGGAAAAAATTAGATGACCTTAACCGGAATGCTAATGCAATAAAGCAAACTAACAAATTCCAGATGAGAATCAAGTCCTATTTGCAGCTGTCCTTGCTCTAGCCACAGACTTCGCATAAAGCTCTTCATATTGCGATGCTGAAGAATCCCAACTAAAATCTATTGCCATGTCTTTTTCAACAAGCTGCTGCCAATTCTCACTGTTATTGGTGTAGTGGTTAAATGCACGCTCCAAGGCACTGTTTACTCCCTTTTGAGATGTTTGCAAAATCAAAGAAATAAAAGAGAAGAAAATTTTAGATAGTTGAAAGATTAAAAAAAGGTGAAAATGAATTAATAAAAAAAGAGAATATATAAATAGTCATAAACTCTACTACCTGTTCATCGGGGGTCAAAAATGTAAATCCATTGCGAAATTGAAGTGGAATGGTATCATCATCAATATCAAAAACACTACAAGAAGAAGGATTTATGGGTAGCTTAAGTAAACACAGTCCAGAGAGAGAAGAAGAAGATGAAGATGAAAAAGACACTAAAAGAGGCACTCACTGAAAAAACAAACCTGTCATTTAATCCACCAGTCTTTCTTACAATAGGTACAGAACCATATCTCATTGCTATCATCTGTAAAATAATTAGAGGGAACTTTAGATATATAATGAACTTAAAAGAGAAAATCTTTCCTCCATCAACACTCAAGTTTTTATAGGCAGGGCTCCTTGATTTATGATACCCAGTTATTGATACCGATACATAAAGGGTAAAGGAAACAGAAATAAAATTCTCCATTTCTAACATACGATTTTTGTGGATCATACGATTTTTCTGGGAAAATTTGTGGATCATACGATTTTCTGGGAAAATTTAGTAGAGGTGTTGAGTAGGTAGGAGAGACCAAGTAGTGTCTCATCTAAAGTTTGTGGATCATACGATTTTTCTGGGAAAATTTAGAGGGTCCTAATAAGTAAGGGCACTTAAGAAATATGGATGATGATGACACAGATACAAGAAATATGGATATGAAACTCCATTCCTAAAGCCTTGGACACAAATACAGGTACGATTATTGCATATAACATGTTTATATTATATTTTCATATTGACTAATTGAAGCTAAGTGTCATTTCTGAAGACTTAGGCCTTTCCAAATTTAATTAAATTTCTGAATTGCTAGTCTTTTCATGGTTTAATTTTTTAAATTGTACAGTTTTACATATTTTAAAAGTGTTAAATCTATGGAGTGCATCAAGAAGTGTCCATGCAGTATCTGATGCTATCCAGTAAATATCATATCTAACACTTGTGTGCTAGGCATTTACAGTCATCCAGGTAATAGAGCACATGGCTTATCATCCTTTATGCAGTTGCAATCAAGAATATGAGGATTATACCTGTGTAAGGCCACATGGCTCAAAGATTGATGGGATAATGAACATATCAGATGCCGCATAAATGGAATGTGAGAGTGCTTCATCATACTTCAATATCAACCGAATGTGAGGGTGGCTCTGGAAATGGTTTGCTATTCCCTCAAATTCACTCTGCATAGAACATGATCTGCATCAATACGAGAGAGAGAGAGAGAGAGAGAGAGAGAGATTTGAAACATTCAATGGAGAAAGCAAACTTGAGTACTATGACATGTTAACAACAGTATGAAAACACTACTATCATACTGTTTGACATCTTTTTTTTTTTTTTGAAGATAAATACAAAAAAAAAGTTCATTAATAAGAGATCACAGTACAATCAAAGGGGATGATGAGAAATCACCAAAATAAAAAAACAAAATAACAATACATCAAACCCCCCTTCTACTTCCAAAGATGACTAAAAACATCCCTAAAAGATTCTCTTGCCAACCCTGAGAACTATTGACGAATCATAATCCATTCCAAAATTCTTTTCCTGGTTATTGAACATAGCTTCTCTTTGGATATTTTTGCCTTATTCTAAAAAATTCTTCTGTTCCTCTCTTTCCGAATCTCTCAACAGGCCGCAAAGGGAACACATGAACACACAATTTTAGCTTTCTTACTCCTGTTATGGACTAGCCAAGCAAGCAAAAATCTCCATTGGACTTCTAGAATTCCATAAGACTAATCTAAGTTATCTGATAAAGAAGCTCCAAATGCATCTTGAGAGGTGAAGCACATCTTCTTCACATCCACATAAGTGACATCTATTGACTAACTGAATTCCTCTTCTCTTTAAATGGTCTTGTGTTAGAATGCTATCAAGCACAACCAACCAAGCAAACTCTTCCACCCTTGGGGAACCAAATTCCCCCAAATGCTTTCAATATTAGATCTTTCCACTTGATTTCTTGCCAAAAAGTTGTAATAAGATTTAACTGTGAAAATAGCATTTCTATACTTCTCCAATTCCCAATCAAATAGAGGTCTTCTAAAAGATGGGCACCACACAACCCTTCCTTGATTAAATTTGAAACATTGAGTAATAGATATATTTTTTCTCATTAAGATTGTAGAACCTTGGACAGATGTCACATAATCTATCAATTCCTATCCAATCATCTTCCCAAAATTTAATAAGGCTGAATGAAACTCATGATACCTTCCCAAAAGCCACCACGCCATACTTATAAGCAATAACTCTTCTCGATAAGACCTTCCTCTCTTCCCCAAACCTCCATAACCACTTCCCCCAAAAATGCTTTGTTAAACACCCTCACCCTCCTAATCCCCAGACCTTCATCATCCCTCTTGCCAGTTGCCAAATTTAACCAAACTTCTAGTGTCATTTGTTGTTTCTTTGTAATAAATAAATTGATGCATTCCACTTTACATATTTTATAAGTGTTGATTTTATGAATTACACATGTCCATGTAGTATATGTCATATTGGGTACAGATCATTGTTTGGCAATAGTATGCTAGGTATGTGCAGGTATTCAGGTATCATAGATTGCACCAAGCAAAAAGCAAGAAGAGAAGTGAATAGGTATATCATTGTCTTTCCACACCATCATGATTTAAAAAAGTGCACCTAGGTGAACAGGAGGTGCACTTCAAGGCCTATGCCTCACCTAGGCTAGGCGCAACCCCTTTTAAAAGCCAAGAACCTAGTGCGCCTTGCACCTTATATTAGACATGCTTCCGTGGTCCAAAGAAAGTGCAAATCCCCACCTGACACTCAATGAATTCCACCATTGCCTATCACTCTCACCCTCCCCCCCCCCCCCCCAAGTAGAGGCTTTTTGCTACATAGATTTCTCTGCATTTTATTTACCAAAAAAAAAAATTCTGTACATATTAAAGGGGTGCTTTTATCTTCATCAATATTAGTAACTGACAATTCCTGACCACTGATTGAATGTTAATTATGATAAGACAGACAAAATTGTCAAATTATGGAGTCAGCCACATGAATCTTATTCTGCCATTTTTCCAATACTCAGTGAAGTATCAATTGTCAAATTATGGACACTTGAATAATTCCTCACTACTCAGTGAAGTATCAGTTTGCAGCATATCAGTTCTTACTTGAGTGATAAATGGTCTCCTAGCAAGAAAAACCATCTTATATGCCCATTTTACTACTCATCCATCTCAATATTTGCATCTCTACTACACTCAATTTGGAAATGGTTTTCCATAGCTACCTAACACTCTGTGCTCTAATATTGTTGTCTTATAGATGTCTTGTAAAAGATTTTCTTTTATCTGAAGTGGTCTTCTTGGACAAAAAAAATTCTTCAGATGCACCCCTCGTCGATCCTGCTCTAATTTTATGTTTGACATCCTTCCCAATCTCTTATTTGCTATGAATTATCAAACCAAGTTAACAGAAATGGTCACATTGAGGCATCTTTTAGTTTCTTATCCTAATTGTCCCTTGGTTTTCGCCCCAGTTAGATCTAATTTTGGATTTACTCCCACTGTAGTTTCATGAGTCTGTTCATGTTCTAGTTCAATTTATAATTCACCATAAAGAACATGACTCTTCGGGGATAGGCCTAAGGTTCTTATTTTGTTCTTTTGTTGTCTTGGTAATATCCTCAGTTTCACTAACATGCAAAAGGAAAACCAGTCCCTCTTTGTTACATTTATGGAACCAAAGAATACTAACATGTGAACGAATTCAGCAGAAACAATCTGTAAATTCATCCCTTACCCATAAATACAGGCAAGTACAACAAGTTGGACAATGTAAAAATGAATTGAAACATCTAACTACAAACAAAGCATGAACAAAGTCTTCAGAATAGGAAAATATTATTTCAATATGCGATGTGATACAGGGCTGGAACCCAGAAGAATGTCTTATGAATTGAAACAGGTAACTATAAATTAAACATGAGCATTAAAGTCTTTGGAATAGAAAAATATTACTTGAATATGTGATACAGGGCTGGAACCGAGAAGTATGAACTGCCCTCCTAGCTCCAGTGTCCGATATATTGCATGTCTAATAAGATGGACACCCTTCTGTGGAACCAATCTTGTTATGCAACCAACCTAATTTAGAAAATATCTAAGAACTTTTAGTTAAGATAATGACAATAGATGGCTTCATGAAGGACTGCCACCTTAGACTTAAATTTTTTAAGCAGTAGTAACAAGTATTTATTACTGAAAGAGGTAATTATAAACTATACAAAGTTTTGGATAGCGTAATGCAAAGAAAAACAGCAAAAAGAGTGCCGCTACCCTGCCAAGATACTAAGAAGATTGAATATTACAATTCCAATCCTGACCCTGGTATTCTTTATTCAAGATTTTTTTTAGCAGTAATAACAAGTATTTATTACTGAAAGAGGTAATTATAAATTATACAGAGTTTTGGATAGCATAGTGCAAAGAAAAACAGCAAAAAGAGTGCTGCTACCCTGTCAAGATGCTAAGAAGATTGAATATTACAATTCTAATCCTGACCCTGGTATTCTGTATTGAAGATTTTTTTGTCAGTAATAAAGAATATATTCATATCAGAAAGAACATACATTCAAGAAGTGGAATGTAGGACTAGTACAAACACCTCATTTCTGAAAATATAGAATTACAACTGTTGAGAATGTGCTTGGTGCAAATCCCTCCCAGGACTGGCCAAACCCCAGTCCAAAAGGTTTTTATACAACCCTCCCTGGCTAGCATATCTACTAGATTGTTCGCTGACTTGCGGTTCTACTTTGAAAAAGTGGTTCATTCTGGATACCAATAATTCTATTTCTCTTATGAGCTTCCGTTGTAAGCTATCCAATCACAACTTTACAGTCACCTTCTATGATTATGTTGGCCAAGCCCATTGAAGTGCTGTTGTTTCAGTCTTCAAAGAGTTTACTTCTCTAGCTAGTCCAAAGTAACTAAGCTTCAATTTGCCTTCATGATTTCTGATTGCTCCTTCAATTTGAGACTACCCAGATTACCTAGACCATCTAATTTGAGAGTTTCTGTTTACCACTTTGCATTTTCTGGCCTCTCTACATCAAAGCAGGTTTGTCTTCATGGCACATAGCTTGCTAGCATCCCTATAAGGATTCCCTATGAATGGTGTCCATTGGTATTACTTTGAACTCTTCTCTTGCAATTAGCCGACACAATCTTTAAAGATAGATTCCCTATAAGGATGTTCAATTCCTACTTTTTTTTTTCCATTAAAAACTCTCATTCCTTTCATTCTGTACGCCCCAAATGTTGGCTGCTCTGATACACTGCCACATTAGTTTTCCTCTTTTTGTATGTGGAGGCAGATGTATGAAGCAACCCAAGAACAGCCAAATAAATGAAATATGTGAATCCAAACCTTTGCTGCAAACGTTAAATGATGGATGCTTCTAACATCTCACCAGTTTAGTCTCCTTCTGTGAAGCATCTCACCAGTGTTGAGGATGCTTTCCCAACAAAAATCCTTTAGGGGCAGAGGGGCCTTCCCACATTGCTTTGGAAGGAAATGGAATGAGGTTTTGGGGAGAGGGGTTCAAAGCCTTGTATAAGGATTTACAAGAAAAAGGTTCCCTAGTGTTTCCAATGTGTCATAATTTCAGAATTCTTTGATAGACTATACATTTAAGGTTTAAAGTTTTAGAATATTATTAAAAAATTTTCAATATTTCATTAAAATCATCATAATTTTTTTAAATATTTTCTTAAAATAACCAATGATGAATCAGTTTTTTGATGATTGGCTTACTGTTTTGATATAATCTCTTGCTAAGTCACTATAATTCAAAAGAAAAGAAACAATGCACGCTAACAGGATTCTCAATCTTATCAAAGTACAGTAACAAAAAAAAAGACAAAAGTTAAAATGGCAAGTAAATGACATATGTAATAAAGACAAGATGGATAAAAAACTAAAAAGGAGACAAAGTGAATGATACCTATTTAATTCACTTAATTTTTTGATTTATATGGTTGTTTAATATGGTTTTTTGAATCTTAAACGTGCAACTACTTCTAACAATTCATTGAAGGTTTATTAACTAATTCCATATTTTTTTAGAAAATTTCCCTGATTTTTTAGATATTCCTAATATCTTAGAGAAATTAGTGAAATATCCCAAAAGTTTCGCATCTCTATATAATGAAATGTCCGTTGATATAAAAATTGTGAACCATGGTAGAAGCTCCCCTTTTAACAAGTATTTTCGTGCAGCTAGTTGATACAACACGTTTTAATCTTTAAATTAGTGCCAAGATCTCTGATTTTAAGGAATTTCAAACTGAAATGTGTTGGGAGGACAGACTGAAATGTGTTCATTCACAAATGATTTTCCGTGTCAATATTAAAAGCCAATCATAGTATGATAGAAGCCATTATTTTACTGTATGGTCATTATGAGATTTAGTTTATACTTTTAAATCACTTTATGTCCACTTTTGATTTTTTTTTCCCTTATGAAATAAGTTTTGAAGAGATACCATTACTGTGCTGCTAGATTGCCACATTGTAGTTCATCAGGTTATTCTTGAGATGCTCATGAATGAGGATAGAAAATTACCAATGGCTGCCTGGAGTTTTCACTAGAGAGTCCCAGGTGCTTCCTTATAGCTTCTTTATTTTCTACTTTCCCTTGAAGATCATCGGCATTATACTGGACTTTGATAAAAGCATCAGTTGCTGGATTCCAAGCATCGGTATCAATCCCATTAAGAATTCCAACAAACTTTCTGGAGTGAGAACTTAGCGTTGTATGGAGACCCTTTCCTCCCTGTAAAAACAATACAATTTGGTCAGAGAACAGGAATAAAGGATCAGGCCTTTATGCTAGGAGCAAAGAATTAATTTCTCTTCTATGTATAATTAAACGGATGCATGAAAATGATTGCAAAAATGACCACCTGCATTAAATCATTCAAGGATAACTTATAACCCCATTACTAACCAGGCTTGCCAGTGAAAGAAATCCACATGTTCTGTCTGGACATCAATTTCTAATAAAATGACAATTCAACCATGAACAGGTAATGATAACCCAAATAGATCGTTGGGTAATGGCTAGGTGTATCAATGATATAATTGTTAGAGGATGTCAAACAGGGCTAGTTTTTCATTGCATGCACAAATGGTGAAACTTAATTCCAATTCCTACTTTCAGATATCAAATCACATATCACCTTCTTTTACTTGGGGCCCACTCAGGAAGGGGACTCCAGAGCCAACCCTCTTCTCTATTAGATTTTAGAAATTGAAGATAAGGGACTCTCGGGAGGTCATAGGATGGATGCCCAACTTGCTAGATGACATTTCCTTTTTTCTTTTTTTTTTTTGATAAATAACAAATTTTATTAAATATGAACAGAAATATATGTACAAGTGTAACCTCCTGAGGATAGATGACCTTGTCATTTGAGACATCATATTGGAGAAGCAATGTCCTTAGCCCCTCAGGATGAATACTTTTTTATATGGGTTCTAATCAGGCACAGTTGATTGGAATAAGTTATTCTCGGGATCTGATCCTTTAGGATAGATAGACCATTAGAATCTCAGATTGTCTCCTCCTTTGAATATGAAATGCAACTGACAGTTAAACCCTTGGGTTTCTTACTGTTATAGGGCTTCATTTTTGTACCTTTCTCTTTGGTGTTTCCTTTTTTATTTTTTGATCAATTACTTCTCTCTGTTGTCTCCTTATATAAGGTTTGGTCTTCTCTACTGCTTCATGGGAGGAGTACACTGTATACAGATCTAACCTTTAGCATTTTTTTTCCCACACAAAGTGGCTGATCTTAGACTTGAACCTATTCTATTTTCACATTCTACTAACAAAAAATGTCCTAGTTGGTTCAGGAGTAAACAAAAAAACTGCTTCTCTTTAATAATGGATTCCCTAGGGATAAGCAATGGATTGGGCCTTCCCACAGCCCCAATAGTATCAATTAAGCCCACTGTTCCTCAATCCATAGTTCCAATAACATCAGTTAATCCATCTTGTTGTTACAGAGAAAACATTCAACAAACAAAGAAAGCATTCAATAAATAATAATAAATTTAAATTCTACAAGGCATCATCTATACCTCTGCTGTCCGCACTTCTTGAGCATATGTGGGTGACACTGTTGTCACAATGTTTGAGAATACAACTGCACCCTAGATGAACATGGATGGGGAGAAGTTAAGAAATCAGTTGAACTTGGTTATTGGTGAACCATTGATTCAGTTACCTTAACAGGATTAACTTTGTCATGAGCTGAGTTATCTTGCATCCTATCTGGTCTATTTAAATGAACATCAAGGCCACAGGATGCCAAGTCTGAAGCATGTGCAGTCCCTTGATACTCAAAATTGTGGCATGTGAAGCATATTCGAGCTGAATTAAGGCCTTTGTGTACATATAGATCCCAATAGAGTGGTGCCTGAAAATGCAAAAATTGCTGATACTTTAGATGACTGGAAAAATAAATATGTTCAAGTAAAGAATAAAAGCCTGGAACTAAGATCTGAAATATGTTGTCCCTACAATAAAAGCTGTCTGCCAGTCATGGCAATGGATGATATCTGGTTTCTTGTCCGCTTGGAGAATCAACTCAAGTGCTGCACGGCTAAAAAATGAGAAACGCTTGAAATCATCACGTTCCCCATAAAATTGTCCTCTCCAGAAAAATTTATCTGGATGATGAGGTTCAATAAAATAGACAGGAAGGCCTGCATTGTCACAATTCAAGTGAGTATGCTCCATCATGTCATCCTATTAGAGTTCATTCTTTCTAATGTAAAAGGATTGGAAAGCAATGACTTTTCTACAAAAAGGGTGAAAATACAGATGAAATATTTCAACTGAAAAAAAAAATTGCCACTTCTACTTTGAAATAAATGGATCCTAAAAAAAAAAAAAAATGGATCTCAACCTTCAATTGTTCCAACCCAGACTTTATTTTTAAATAGTTGGCCATCAAAATATGATTCCACTATCACATCCAGCACCTGCATGAAAAATTTGTCCACATAAACATTTTCATATTCTCATCTTTATATATATTATGTCAGTGCAAACCATATAAAGAGCTTCAATGAAACTTTTTCACCTCAGCAGATAATTAGCATACCCTTAAATCACCAATACGCTCATATTGCATGCAATCATATTTGGGCAATACAATCTCCACAAGGTGTCCTTTCTTCTGTAGTGCTTTACTTAGACCAGTCACAACATCCCCCAAGCCACCAACCTTTGAAACAATGAATAGATAGATTAGCATCTACTGTGGAAGTTAAAATTAACACCAAAAAGTTTCTCCTTAAACAAATCAAACACATTGGAAAGAGGCAAAGGAAGACATTTGGTGGAGCATATTTCAGTAAATACACACAGATAAGAATGAATGACAGGAAAATGTTTAAACTTTTCCAGACTCAAAATGAACTAAAAAACAATTTAGAACAGTTCAAGAAAAAAAATAAACAGACATTCCAAGGAGTGGGGACAAAGACATGGATACCAAGTTTAAGACACAAGCCCAAAATACTAGGATGTTGAATAACTTAAACATTAAGAGTTAATATGTATAAAGAGTTATCCAGATGATCATACAAAGAGCAATTCAATAACAGCTTAAGTGGCTGAAATGAATGACTTATTGCTTTGTCTTTTAGTGGATAAGTTATTAAGTAGGTTGTGAGCTCCTTAAGGGCTGAAAGGAATATTGAGTTGATTACTAAAACCCTAAATATTTTATTCACTAAAAGGCAAAGAAATAAGCCATTCAAATTTTAGCACTCCAGCCATTATCCAATGACCCCTAAGACCATAAGTAGATTATAAGGAATGATACCTAGATACATGTACATACCTAGTGTACCAGTGTCAAACATGATACTAATCCAATATGACACTGGATACTGTACGGATACCAAGTTAACAACTTAAGTGGATGAAATGAATGACTTCTTGCTGTGTCTTTTTAGTGGATAAGTTGTTAAGTAGGTTGTGAGTTTCTTAATGGTTAAATGGAAATATTGAGTTGATTACTAGACAAGAAAGCATGGTATGGGATTTTAGGAAATGGAAAGTCATCCCATTCCCTATATCCGTGACCACATACACCAACACCAAGAATTTGGTATCTTTGCATGTATCAGAAACACAAGTAAGATAATAATTAGTAAAGAAAAGAAAATAGTTCCAGCTTGCCAATAAAGCTCTAATCGCATAGTTTGTAGATAATACTAGAAGGAATGAGGAAAACACCAAATCTCAAACTTTGAATGATATATTTGGATATGTAAACTGTTATCCAGAGGAGAAGGAAGAGAGAGAGAGAGAGAGAGAGAGAGAGAGAGAGAGAGAGAAGAGAGAAGAGAGAAGAGAGACAAAAGTTTGGAGTCTCAGAAAGCTGCTGGCGGCGCCAGCTTTGTTGTTATTTATACTAGGGCGACACAACTTAAAATAAAACATGCTGAAAGGACTAAAGYACCCCTGTGGTACTAAACATACAAAAACATAGCATTTCAACACTCCCCCTCAAGTTGGGACATAGATATCAACCATGCCCAACTTGTCACATAAATCATAACGTCGCAAGTGATGTAACCCCTTTGTGAAGATGCCTGCAAGTTGGTCTTCAGAACTGACATAGGGAGTACACACTTCCCCTGTGACAACCTTTTCTCTAATGAAATGTTTGTCAACTTCGATATGCTTAGTTCTATCATGCATCACAGGATTACCAGCGATGTTTATGGCTGCTTTGTTATTACAATAAAGAGTCATAGGTCCATCAACTGGAAAGCCCAACTCACTCAACAAATTCTTTAACCACATGATTTCTGCCACTCCATGAGACATTTCCCGATATTCAGCTTCAGCACTAGACCTAGCTACCACATTTTGCTTTTTGCTTCTCTAGGTAACTAGGTTCCCTCCTATAAAGGTACAATAGCCACTTGTTGACTTCCGGTCATTCAAAGATCCTGCCCAATCAGCATCGGTATACACTTCAACTTTCAAATGCCCGTGCTTTTGAAACAACAAGCCTACACCTAGGAACTTCTTAAGATATCTGAGAACTCTTTTTGCTGCTTCAAGGTGGGTAGTCTTAGGGGCATGCATGAACTGGCTAAGAACTAGCAGTCTTCCTACAAGTCTCTGAAACTGTTTCACATCTTTGATGGGTTCACCTTGACAGTCTCCTAACTTGTGGTTAGGATCAATAGGGGAATCAACGGGCCTCACTCCCAATTTTCCTGTATCCTAGATTAGATCTAGGACATACTTTCTTTGGGAAATGAGGATACCCTTTTTTGAGCGGGCCACTTCAATCCCACGAAAGTACCTTAGAGGACCTAGATCCTTCACTTCAAACTGGGTAGCAAGGAAACTCTTCAACTTTTGAATTTCATCATTCCAATCACCAGTGATAACTATATCATCAACATATACTATTAGTGCTGCAACCTTTCCTTCCCCTCTTTTCACAAACAGTGGTGTGATCAGATTGACACTGCTTGTATCCTTTTTGCTGAACTGCTACATGGAATCTACTGAATCAGGCTCTCGGTGATTGTTTTAGGCCATATAATGATTTTTTTAACCTGCAAACTTTCTATTCCTTACCTTGAGCTCAGAAACCAGGAGGTTGCACCATGTATACTTCCTCTTCAAGGTCACCATTCAAGAATGTATTCTTGATATCAAGTTGATGAAGTTCCCAGTCAAGATTAGTAGATAAGGAGAAAAGAACTCTAATGGAGTTCATCTTAGCAACGGGTGCAAAAGTTTMTGCATAATCCACTCCATACACTTGTGTAAACCCCTTTGCTACTAGACGAGCTTTATACCGCTCCACTGTGCCATCAACCTTATGTTTTACTGTGAAAACCCATTTACACCCAACTAGTTCTTTCCCCTCAGGAAGATCTACAAGTTCCCATGTACCATTCTTATGTGAAGCATTAATCTCTTCCTTCATAGCATCTGTCCATTCAGGTATCAAAAGAGCTTTTGCCAAATTCTTAGGAATAGGAGCATTGTCAATGGCAGAGAGAAAGGCCCGAAAGGACGGTGAAATGTTCTCATAGGAAACAAAGTGGGACATGGGGTGTTTAGTGGTGCAAGACCTAACACCTTTCCGATGAGCAATAGGAAGGTTAAGGTCATCGACAATAAAGGTATCAATGGCAATAGGGTCAGGAACATCAATGGGAACCAAGGTACCTAGTTGGAAAGGATCCACCCCCGAAGAGTTTGATGGTATTGGTGGTATAGCTTCTGAATGCTCTACAACGCTTGAACTTGGCTGGCCTTTGTGACGTCGAAAGAAAACATGAAAGGGAGGAGGATCAGGAATAGGGGGGCAACTAAACTAGTTTCTCCTCATTTCTACACTCCCCCCTAAGGAGAAATAGGGAAGAAAGGCTCACTCTCAAAGAAAGAGACATCCAATAGAAACATAATATCTCTGGGAGACGGGATCAAAACATCGGTACCCCTTTCGAGTGAGGGAGTACCCCAAGAAGATGCAAGGAATAGCATGGGGATCCAATTTTCCACGGGTGGGAGCCAGATTTTGAACAAAGCAAAGACAACCAAACACACGAGGAGGAATAGACAGAAGAGGAGCTTTGGGAAAAAGAAGCTGATGTGGGGCTTTGCACTCTAACTAGTGAGAGGGCATACGGTTAATGAGATAAGTAGCACAAAGGACCGCCTCAAGCCAAAAACGTTTTGGGACATTCATATGTATGAGTAAACCCCTAGCTACTTCAAGAAGGTGTCAGTTCTTTCTTTCAGCAACACCATTTTGTTGTGGTGTTCGGGCACAGGAGCTACGGTGAAGTGATCCATGCGAAGCAAAGAATTCTGTGAGATCATTATGAAAATATTCTTTTGCGTTATCGGATTGGAAAATTTGGATCTCAATTTGAAATTGGGTGAAGATCATTCGGTGGAAATCTTGGATAATTTTGGGAACTTCATCCCTGGTTCACATAGGATATATCCATGTGTATCTGGAATAATCATCAATGAAGGTAATAAAATATTTGTAGCCACTCTCGAACGGTAAAATAACAGGGCCCCAAACATCAGAATGAATAATATGGAAAGGAAATTCAGATTTATTATTCTTTGAAGAAAAATGAGTTCTACAATGCTTACTCAATTGACAAGTTTGACATGTAAACTGTGACATTGACATTGACTTAAACAACTCTGGAAACACCAATTTTAAAGACTCAAAGGACAAATGACCGAAACGACTATGCTATAAATAAACCTGACTTGTACTAGACTGACTCTTAGACTCTGTGATTGTAAGACCAGCCTTATTCTCCAGCATGTAGAGTCCATCCACCATAAGTCCTCTACCAATCATCTTCCCTGAGGCCAAATCCCGGAGTACACAATGAGAAGGGAAAAAGGTTATTGAGCAGTTTAAAGAATTAGTGATACTACTAACAGAGAACAAATTAATGGGGAATTTTGGAACATGTAAGACATTAGTCAGGGTGAGGCCAAAAGGAAGAGAGATGGTTCCTATAGAGAACACTGATGTGGACCCCACTATGTTCGTATGGCAGCATATTTCTGTTAGTTATGTCAGTGCTGGTAGTTATTTCAGTTTGTTATTTCAGCTTTATTATTAGTTTATTTGCCATGTAAGCAATAAGGGCAATTCAGCCCTTTTACAATTAGTCAACATATATAAATATTAAGAGTGGGTTGGTTGATGTCAAGACCAACCCTCTCTCTTTTCCAAAATCTCTTTGTGTGCTTCTTCTCTTCTGAAATTT